TTGGGGTGGCCAACAGGGTGCACTGCAGAGCGCAGTGCATGGAGTGAAGCATCCCTATGGGGTCAGGAATCCTGATACCATCGGGGGGCAGCTCGCACCCCCAAGCCATCCACCCTTTAGGGCCGTGCAGAAGGATGCCCGGTGCAGGGGATGCTCATACGCAGGTGGGGATTCCCCACAATGGGCGGCTGCGTCTCTCCTGTTTGCTTTCCAGCTCTGCTCAGCTCTCTGCACAGAGCCCACCACATGCAGAGGTGCTGCTGCCGGGGGGGGGGGGGGGGGGGGGGGGGGGGGGAATGGGGCTCATCCCACCCCTGGGGTCTTCATGGCCTCTCCTCCCCAAAGCCCTCATGGGTGGTTTCAGGATGCTCCCACGGCACAATTCACACCATCCTCTCGCTGCTTCCTTCCAACCCTCTTCTACACCAGGCCATGAAAACAGCCCCCGGGCTCTGCAGCCCACCCCCTCCACCCCCCCAGCACTGCAGGAGGGCTGAGCCCGGGATCCAACGCTGCGCCGGATGGGGCCGGGGTGCGGCGATGTGAGCGAGATGGGTTTATTACACGGAGTCTGTTGCTGCGATTGTTATCGATCCGCAGCTGTCACCTTCCATTGCCGCTAATGGGACGTGAAGAGGCTTCGGTGACCGGAGCCGAGCGTGCGCTGCTGCGTGCTGCCGCGTGCTGCTCCCGGCCCCGGCCCCGCAGCCGCCCCTTCCTCCCCTTCTCCTCTCCTCCCTCCTGTCTCGCTCCTTCTCTGCCATTCCTCCTATCCCTCTCCCTACCCACCTCAGGGTTCCATGTCCTCCTCTTGCAGCTGCCTCTCTCCTCCCGTCTCCATCCTTCTGCTCCTCTCACCTCACTCCCTCTCCCCTTCGCCCACTGGTTCCCTGCCCACATTTCACTTCTCCCTTCTTTTCGCCATCGCTTTCCATGCTTACGGCCATTCCTCCTTTCTCTGCTGCCCCAAACCCTGGGCAGCCCCAGTTTATGGTCACCCATCGCTGAGGCCGCCCACAGCCTCCGCTCTCCCACCCCACCTCTTCTTTGTTGTTATTTTAATACGAGGTCTTCTGGAAGCGGGGGGGGGATTAACCTGTGAGAAGCGCCACGCTGACCCCAGGGGCTGCATCCCATGGGACGGGGACATGGGGGCCATTGGGGTCGGACTGGGAGCGTGGCTCTGGGCGAAGGGCTGCTCCTGGCACCGCGCTCCCCATCGCACAGCGCTGCGCTCCCCGGAGCCCTTCATGTCTGAACAGCTCGTGCGCCGCCCGGGCAATCCCTCCCAATTAAGGGCAGGGAAAGCAAAGGAGCCCGAGCCCGCACGGCTCTTTGGTAGGCAAACACACAGCGCCCGGGGCCCTGGCACGCTGCCGCCGTGCTCAGGGTGTCGCAATGGGTGGGCATTCACAGCAAGCTCCTGGATCGGCAAGAAACGCGCGGGCTCCACCCGACCGCCGCCGATGTGCTGCCCGGGCGCGTCCGTCTGGCTCCGGCAAGGATCGAGCGGGCGGCACGGAGCTGTGGGTGCTGCAGTGCTGAGCCCTGTGCACAGCGCTGCGCCGAGCCCTGCAGCCAGCCCTGCACCGAGCCTTGCACCCAGCCCTGCACCGAGCTTTGCATCCAGCTCTGCACCGAGCTCTGCACCCAGCCCTGCACCGAGCTCTGCATCCAGCTCTGCAGCCAGCCCTGCACCAAGCTTTGCATCCAGCTCTGCACCGAGCCTTGCACCCAGTCCTGCATCCAGCCCTGTATCGATCCCTTTGCTGAGCCCTACACTGAGCCCTGCATCAAGTCCTGCACCCAGCCCTGCACCCAGCCCTGCACTGTGCCATGCACCCAGCCCTGCACCCAGCCCTGCACTGTGCCATGCACCCAGCCCTGCACCCAGCCCTGTGCCTCACTGCCTGGCTGGACCCCCCCTCACACCGCTTTCCATCACGTTAGCCTCGGTTGATTTAACCAGAAAACAACCCCAGAATTTAATTCCCTGGCGCTGCTTCTCCCATCCTGATCAGGAGGCGGCCGCCCGCTGCCTGCGCCTGAGCTGAGCCCACTGGGGCGCTGGGGACACCCCTGTACCAACGGCAGTGTGGGGTGGGCACAAGCCCCGTGTGCCTGCAGGGATCCAGCACCTGGTGCCAATGGAAAGAAGCCCATGGCAGTGCCAAGCTCCAGCATCCCCATACATATCCCCATGCACGTCCCAGTGCTGCACCGTGGAGCATCCCGTGGGGACATACCGGGTATACCTGGTGCTAATGAAGCAGAACCAGTGGCAGAGTCCAGCCCTGCTGTCCCCATTGCTGCTGGGCCGTGGGGTGTCCCATAGGGATGTGTGGTGGGACAATAGCATCTCCTGCACCTCGCTGTCCCAGTTCAGAGGGCTTGGAGAGGGGAACGGGGCTGGAGTGAGCTCAGAGCCGCTTGTCGCAGCAGGCGTCGGCATTTTTGGTGTCTCCGTGCTCCACACTGGGTTGCGTGGGGGTTTCTAGGGATGGAGAGCTCCGTCCCAGACACCCCGTCCACCCATTCCTCCACTGCCCCGGGCCTGGCTGCCTGCGACCCCAGGGATGGGTGCGGGGGTTCCTGGGCAGCCCCACCGCCTGCAAGGAGGAGGAGGACGGGGGGAGCCACGGTCAGGCGGCGGCGGCGGTCGGCAGCCTGTGGCCGGTGAGGGGTTAACGCGATTGTCTCGCAGCCACGGCCGCCCTCCCGGGAGCGCCGAGGACTGGGTTTTCATTTTAAGTAACCCCAACGCCGCACGCGACGAAATGCATCGGGTCGGGGGCGACAGTGGAGGGGAGCGCCCGGGGGAGGCGGATGCAGCGCGGCAGCCGGGAGGTAGGAGAGCATCGGGGGGGGGGTCCCAGCCCCAACGTCCCACTCCTGTCCCATCGCTGTCCTCGTGCTGGGACGTCCCCAGGGTGACGGTGGGTGTTTGGGGTCACTGCGGCGGCGCTGGCCTCGTGCTGCCGAGGCTGCTCTGTGCCTTCGGCCTCGGTCGGTCACTGATGGCTGCAGAGCGAGGTCTCGCCCCGCAGGGAACTTCCAGGTGAGCTGCATCTCTCTGCTGGATGAACTGCGAGGGAGAAAAAGGGGGAAAAGGGGAAAGGAGGGAAATTTGGGGGATGGCTTCTCCCTGGCTGAGCATCCCACACTGCTCGCATCCACCCGGCTCACTGCCTGCACTGAAGCGGATTTAAGCAGCGAGGGAAAACCTCAAAGAGCTTTGGGGATTAGGAGCGGGCTCAGGGGATGGAGCAGCGATATCTCATCCTGCATCCCGGCCGATATCCCGTCCTGCACCCTGCTCTGTCACAGCAGTTCTCGGGCAGCGGGGATGCTCCCAGACCACTTCTGTCTCCCTGTCCCCATCCCGTCCCCACATCCCGCCCGGTGCTGCCCTGCATCCCCAGCATCGCTCCCGTCCCAGCTCTGCTTTGCGGGAAGGGTTCCTTAACGATTCAGCACTGAATTCCCGCAGCACCTCCTGCAGCGGGGACAGAGCGGGGATGGGGAAGGCATTGCTCTGTTCGCTGGGGCTGTGCTGAGCTCCTGTCCCCTCGCCAGGACTTTGCCTTTCTGCGGTGACCTTCACCCCGTCACCGGTGTCACTCCCCGGTTAGGGTTTCTGTTTGACCACGGTACAAAACCTTTTAAATCCCACAGCCCCTGGAGACGGAGGGAATGGAAGGAGAGCGAGGAGAGAGGGGGGGAAGGAGGAACAGCACTGTTAGCACCGGAGCCTGGATTTGGGGCTGGGGTCCGACTCAGCAGTGCTGGGACTCCGGCACTGGGAAATTGGGGCACATCTCCAGGGGGCGGTGGTGATGTTTTCCCCCATTGTGGATGGGGTGGGCAGCCCTCCTCCTCCTGCCCCACACCTGGAGTGGGCCCCCCACCCGCCCCACTCGGACCCTCAGCTCCGTGCTTTTCCGATGGCCTCTAAGCCGCTTGTTTTAATAGCATTAATGCTTTTAAACAAACAGCCCCTTCACCTCCGCCTGCTTCGCGCGATGCCCGGGAGGGCTGAGCAAGATAAGGGGATTGGAGCGGGATTTGGGAGAGATAAAGGGGCAGGAATCCAGCCAGACCCCAGCACGGACAGACCCCAACCTGGCCAGACCTCAGCCCAGACAGACAGACGACGAGTTTGTCCCATGAGGTCGGCACCATGCGCCGTGTCCCCATCCCAGGGATACCTCACTGCTTGTGTCCCTTGGGCAGTGCGACCCCATCCCCAATTGCGAGCCCATCACCTCCCTCCCTTCCTACTCAAGGTGTCCCTCATCCCAAAGGGGGGCACCCCGGGGTGACACCCCCAGGCCCAGGGGTCCCAAAGGGCTCAGCCCAGCCGGGGAGCGCCGACCCACAGCCTTTGGCACGGGGACCACAGAGACATGAAAGCGGCGGCGAGGCGCTCGCTAATGAGGGAGAATAAAGGAGCGGGGAGAGCAAAGCAAATGAGGAGAGCAAACAAGAAGGGAAGAACAGGCAAGAGGCATTTTCATAACCGCTCGGTGCCGAGCGAGCCCTCGGGGCGGTTCTTCGCCTCCTGCCCTTTGTATCTGCTGTTCTCAGGGGCCTGTTTGCATTTCTGCTCGAATCCAAACAGCCCGCGCTGCCCCGGCTCTATTTACCCTCCTGGGACGGCGCCGGGGCCGACGTGGAACCCACAGCCCAAAAAGGGCCATCGCCACCACCTCCCAGCTCTGCCATCGCCTCTTTCTCCTTATTTCACCCAGTCTCAATTCACCTTCTAATAAACCATGGGCACCACCAGGCACGGGGCTGCTCCGTGCCCCCAGTTCCCCCCTGCCACAGAGCAAAGGGGGAGTGTGAGCCACAGCCCCTGGGTGTGGGGTGCTCCCCCTGTGCCCTTCCAGCAATTTCTTGCTTCCTGCCGGGGGTAAGAAGATTTACTCTCTACCCATCCCCTCCCTGTATATATGGAGGTGGTTCTCTCTAAAACCTTCAGATGTTTTCTCTTGCTCCTGTCCATGTGCTACTGCCTGGGACCGGGTCCCCGACGTTGCCGCAGGTGAGTGGGGCACGATGTGGCCACGGGGACTGGAGGGGCTGTGCTTTCTGCTCTTGCTTGGATGCTCTGAAAGAGGGAAGGAATGGTGAATTTTGAGGGTTTGCACCCACCAGTGTGCCGGGTGCCACCTCCATCCATCTGTCCTCCCTGCTTCCACAGCCCCCCGGTGCTGGGAGCATCCCCTGGTGCTGGGTGTGCTGGGAGCAACCCCTGTGCTGGATGCTTCCCCAGTACTGCCTGCATCCCCAGTGCTGGGAGCATCCCTTGGTGATGGAAGCATTCCCTGGTGCTGGGTATATCCTCAGTGCTGGGTGCACCCCTTATGCTGTGAGCATCCTCAGTGCTGAGAGCATCACCCAGTGCTGGATGTATTCCCAGTACTGGGTGCACCCCCTGGTGCTGGGAGCATCCCCTGGTGCTGGATGTTATCCTCTGGTGCTGGATGTATCCCTGATGCTGTGTTCTTGCCCCGTGACCCCTCTGCTTTATGCCCTCAGGCTGCAGCATGCAGTGTGGCTGCGTGGCCCCGGGGCTGCCCGCCCTGCCTGGCTCCTACTGGGTACCAGGTGAGCACCAGCACAGCCACACTGGGAGCAACTGGGGCCATCCTGCATGAACCGTGGTCCTCCCACAGACCCACAGGCTGCCTACTGGGCTGTGATCCCTGAGCAGAGCCCATCTAGGGGGATGATGTCCCCAATCCCGGGGCTCTAAGCTGCTGCCCACCCTGCAGGTCTTGCCTTCCCGGATTGGGCGTATAAAGCCGAGTCCAGCCCTGGCTCGCGGCAGATCCAGCTCTGGCACTTCATCCTGGAGCTGCTGCAGAAGGAGGAGTTCCGCCATGTCATTGCCTGGCAGCAGGGCGAGTACGGGGAGTTCGTCATCAAGGACCCCGACGAGGTGGCACGGCTGTGGGGCCGGCGGAAGTGCAAGCCCCAAATGAACTACGACAAACTGAGCCGAGCTCTCAGGTGCTGCGGGGTCACGGAGAGCCTTTGGGGACATGGAGAGCCCTCGGGGATGTGGTGCTGCAGGAACACCTGGCCCTGACCCCCCGTGCAGCACAGCCCACCTGCATGGGGACAGTGGGACAGTGGGGATGTGGTTTGGGAGCTCTTGGTTCTCCTGGTTCTCAGCTTGTGATGGGGAGGAATTTATGCAAAGTTTTCACATGTCCATCTGTCCATCCATCCATCTATACACCCCTCCCTCCATCCACCCATCCATCCTTCCCTTCACCCACCCATTCCTCCATCCAACCATCCATCCATATGTCCATCTCTCCCTCCCTCCGTCCATCCCTCCATCCATCCATCCATCCCTCCATCCATCCCTCCATCCATCCATGCTGCTAACACCCCACCATCCCTCCCAGGTATTACTACAACAAGCGCATCTTGCACAAGACCAAGGGCAAACGCTTCACCTACAAATTCAACTTCAGCAAACTCATCTTCGTCAACTGCCCGCTGTGGGACCTGCGCTGCCCCCCATTGCTGGCGGGCGCCGTTCCCCCCACCCTGCCGAGCCAGGTAGAGTCCCATCACAGCGAGGACAGCCCTGGGGACAGCTGCTCATCCCCACTGCTGCCACGTCCCCATCTGTCCCCCACAGCTGCTGCAGAACGCATTGCTGAGCCGGCGGGCGCTGGCGGAGCCGCTGGGTTGGCACCGGGGTCCCCGGCACCCGCTGCTCCCCGAGGCACCGGAGAAATCCCGTAAGTGTGGGGCACTGACGGCCCACGTGCATCAGGCACGGGACACACACAGCATGCCCGTCCTGGGAATGATGGCGGTCACCGGTGGGGGTCGGAGGCAGTGGGTGCTGGGGGCCAATGGGTGCCGCAGCTCTCCCCCTGGGTGCAGGCACGGAGCCCAGTGCAAGGGGGCCGCAGCCGTTGCCGGTCCCACAGCAGCACCCAGTGGCTGCAGCGGGGAGAAGGGGGGGCCGTGGGTGCTGGTGTGGGGTGCACACGGGGGTCTCAGTGCCTGGAGGCTCTCACGGGGCTCTGTCTCTTTGCCACTCGCAGGGCTGAGCACCGTGTCCCCCCCGTGCCTGGGGGGCTCCTGCTGCCGCCTGGGGGGCCCCGAGGAGTTCCCCCGCTTGGCTGCCTTCCCCTGCCCGCTGCTGCCCCCCCCGCTGCGGGAATGGGCCCCCTTCCCTGTCCTGCACCCCCCACCGCACCCCACACCGCTGCTGCCCCCCCAGCTGGGAGCCCCCTCTCCTATGGGGCTCCCCAAATCGGAGCCGTTCCCGCTGGGCCCCCGTTGCCCCCCTGGGCTCCTCGGTGGCCACGCCATGGCTGGGGGGGGGCTCACGGGCGAGCAACCTGGGGAGGACGGCGAGGAGGAGGAGGAGGAGGAGGTGGATGAAGGCCGGCGTGGCACAGCCATGGTTCAGAGGGTGAAGCTGCAGCTGGAGGGCAGAGAGAAGGGCAGCAGCGGGCTGTCCCCTGCCAGTTTCACCCCCCCACAGCATCCCGTACCCCCACAGCCCCCCAGCTGGCCTCTGCAGCCACCCTAAGGTGGGTGCGCGGGGGCACAGCGGCCCCCAGACCCCAAGACACCCACACTGACGGAAATAAAGAGGTTTGCAGAGGGCTGTGGTTGTCTTGCTGGCAGCACCCCAAAGCCGCCGTCACCACTGACCCTCCGGGGTCTGCTGCTGGGACCCCTCCATGCCAAGGGGATGTGGGGCACAATTTGGAGGGCGGGGGGGAGGGGGGTGGAGGGGAGGAGGAGGAAGGACTTGGGGGACGATCCCAGCAGCCTCTGCTAGGAATTCCCGGAAAACGGCCCCAGCTCATTTTCATTTTCACTTTTCCACATTTTCCCTGCTGGGAAATTTACAGAGGGAAAAGGGGACAGGGGGGCAGATGGAGCCTCTCCCCAACTCTCCATTTTGAGGCTTTTGTGCCCCATTCGCCATCTCCAGTGGCACAGAACACCTGTGGGGCTCCCGGGGCGGCGAGGGCTTGGTGTCACCCCTGGGACCCCACGAAGCAGAAACCCCAAAATCTGCAAAGCAACCTCAACACTGGCATGAGATGGGTGCCACCAGGACGTGGGGTACCCCATAGCCAGGGTGTGTCTATGGGTCTGCAGTACTGAGGCTGTCCCTGTGGGTCCCCAAATCTCTGCTGTTCCCTCAAGTTCCCCATATAGGCTCTGTCCACTTCAGTCACCAAATCCCTGCTGTCCCCATGGCTGCCCCATACTTGGGTACCCACTGTGTCCCCCCACACCCATCAGTCCCTGCAGGTCCCCACATCAGTGCTGTCCCCAGGAGCCATCCCATACCCTGGCAGTCCCAAACATCCCCCAAACCCATGCAATCTCTGCAGGTCCCCAAATCTCTGCTGTCCCCACGGGTGCCCCAAATCTCTGCTGTGCCTGTGAACGCCTCAAATCTCTGCTGTCCCTATGAGTGCCCCAAATCTCTGCTGTCCATGGGTGCCCCAAATCCTTGGTTGCCCCAAACTTGGGTGCCAAATCTGGGTACCCATCCTGTTCCCCTGCTCCATCAATCCCTGCAGGTCCCCAGATCAGTGCTGTCCCCTGGAACCCTCCCATACCCTGGCAGTCCCATACATCCCCCAGACCCATGCAATCTCTGCAGGTCCCCAGATCTCTGCTGTGCCTGTGAACACCTCAAATCTCTGCTGTCCCTATGGGTGCCCCAAATCCATGGGTGCCAAATCTGGGTGCCCATCCTGTTCCCCCCCCACCCATCAATCCCTGCAGGTCCCCAAATCTCCGCTGTCCCTTGGAACCCTCCCTTCCACACCCTGGTAGTCCCATACATCCCCCAAACCCATGCAATCTCTCCCCAAATCTCTGCTGTGCCTGTGAACACCTCAAATCTCTGCTGTCCCTACAGGTGCCCCAAATCTGTGGTGCCCATGGGTGCCCCAAATCCTCTGTTGCCCCAAACTTGGGTGCCAAATCTGGGTGCCAAATCCGGGCGCCCATCCCGCCCCCCCCCCCCATCAGTCCCCGCCGATCGGTGCC